CGCCGGAGGGCGCCCGGGGCTCGGGCAGGGGAGGGAGCGCCCTGGCCGAGGCACTGGGAAGAAGGTCAGGAGCCTGGGGTCGCTGCGGCGAAGCAGGTGGAGGGAAACGCTGGGATCAGGGAGCACGGGGAGAGGCGTCGGGCGCTCTTCCTATCACCGCTAAGCTTAAGGCTCCTTCTTCTACCCGCCACCCCCGACCCCATAGGGAGCAGGGGACTCGAGGGAGGGGAACAGCCCCCACAGCACCCTGCCGCAGAGGAGGGGTGTTCGTAGTAGGGGAGGGCTTGGGAGTGGACCCACCAAAAGCGTTGGGAGGGCAGCGTGGCTCGAGATTTAAGTCCCGTATAAATATCAAATGCAACATGGCGGCCTGGCAGTGACTGGGCAGCAGCACCTCGCCCTTGTAGCTGGGTTTTCCCCTACATGGAGCCAGTATTCACTCTCTCTAATCTGATACCTAAACATTTAGCGATTTGTGCAGTAGATGAGTATCGCGATCATTAGAGAGGGACTAGTTGGGAGGATAGATTTGTGTAGTTTTTCTGTGGATAGTTTAAAGGATTGAAAATAAGGTTGAGTTTATAACATATAAATTGTCCACTTTTTAAAGACTAAATATAATGAGATTTAAGTATCAGTTATGATATGGAAGCTAAGACTACTTGCCCTGTGCTTACTTGAGGCATTAATTGGGGGGGGACCCCTTTCAGAAAAGTTTGTGGGTAAAAGGTGATAATCTGCTCCAATTAGAGAAGTGTGTGTGTGTGGTGGTCACGGGGGTTGTTTTGCTCTGCCTGATTAGAGAAATCTACGTGGGCTTGGGGTAATCTGTTTGGATTTCAGGAAATTTGTGCCCTGATTAAAGCTTAGTATGGTGTGTGCATTTAATATATTTTGGCTAGAGAAGTTTATTGGCTGAGGATGGGGAAGAAGAAATTCTCCCTGCCTGTAGAAACTGCAGCAGCCTGTAGGATCGTAACATGGCGTCTGAAAGGCACATGATATAAAAAGAAGG